GAATACCACATAATTATCACGAATCCGAATTCCTCAAGAATATCACACAATCATCAAGAAACCCTTATCATCATCAAGATTATCAAGATAGAACCATATCACCAATTATCAAGATCACGCCATCAATATCATAAACAATTCATCAAGACACAAGAATATAGGGGAATGCCTAAGATGGAGATCATAACTAAGAAAATAGGTTTTGTTGAGACATGGGTTACCTTAGCCTTAATTGATTTCCTTGGCTATGAAGGGTCTTTCTCTAAGCCTTTCTTCTTTCTTGATTTCTCCTAGGGGAATTCTTGGAGCTCCTTGTGTGGTGAGAGATTATTGTGGTGGGGGTTCTAGGTGCCTCCTATGTCCCCTATTTATATATCTAAGAGTCCTAATTAGGGCCCAAATACTATAGGCTTGCTAACTCTATTCCTTTTAGAACTAGGGGTTGGGTTTAGAGGTGAGGGCCCATGGACTATGGTGGGCCTTTTCCTAGTTGATTATTGTAATTTAATTCTTTCTTTGGATAATTGGTTAAATGATTAATTGATTTTAGGGGTCGTAACACGGGGTGTTACAAAAATACATACTTACACACATTCATGTATATATAAAACATGATAGACAAAACTGTATGTTATAAGGCATCCCACTATGCATATATACAATATTATTAATTGCAAGCAATCTACATATATGTGCCAATACTTGTATACTTAGTATGCCATGAACAATCTCGTGTAACACCTCGTGTATTCATGGCGTACGAATTAGACATAAAGTATTCGTCTATGAAATCCGGTGAAATATTCCGTATGTGCTAAACGTTAGTATTTATGTAAATACTTATTATGTGATTATCCATCATTATTCGTGATGTGCAGTATGAGGGTCCTAATTCTATCGTCTCCCCAAAAGTTTATTTACCCCATAAGAAGCAAGAACCTTTCTCCTAATTGCTTACATGAACTTTTCATAAAAAAACGATCTTTTATTAGTTTGGTTAATTGTTATACGATTTATGACCTTCCTGAATTTATATGACAATTGTTTGGTTATCCCACGATGTTGACTACGTGAATTTATTTGTTAATCATGCACTAGCTTAACATGTTGAACAATACGTATATGTGTTGCGGGATTCATAGGACTAATTATTATTTAAGACTTGAAATATGTTCACGTGCCTTCATACTCTATGCCTATAGACTTATGAAAATTGCATATTTAGCATAATTACGACCGTATACATATAGGCACGCCAACTTGCAGGTTCCGCATATAACATAATAGTTAATTATCATACGTATTAGGCTTGTTATTTTGTAATTATGAGTATTTGGTATAGTCTGTTTAGCACAATAATTAGGTATAGATCATGTATATATAGCATTTGGCTCATGACATGCTACACTACATATTAAATGTTTACATCCATTCGTAAATGTGGTTCGCCTGTGTTGATATGTGTCATATGTGCTTTATAATGATTATGTGGCTATTCGAATCTGCACCCGCGTGGTATTAGCCTCTTATTTAGGTACATAAATAATTATATTTGCATGTTCGGTGCAAATTGTGATCCTATATGTTAAATCATTATAAATTATTTAAACAATGAACATGTCGTGGGTAAGACTTCTATTGTATGTTATAATTCATTCATAAAAGCAACGTGATGGGAGTTGCATATTCATAACCTTATTATTTAGTGCATTTTGCTAGCACAATAGTTAGTCTTAAACTCAATACATTTATATGTGTATATGTATATATTTCCCATATAATATTTTCCTTACGTACTACTATACTAATTCTAACACTTTATCCCCAAAATGATCTCTAAGCTTCGGGGATGAAGCTTCTTGTGAGGGGGGAGGGTGTAACAACCCGTGTTACGGACGCTAATTCCAGATTAATTATTGTTGGTCCCGATAGGGTGGTAGAAAGTCTAGAGGGGGGGTGAATAGACTTTCTAAACTTTTTCAAAATTAATAACACTTTGATAATTTAATAGGAACCAGTACACATGGAATCCAGTATGGGTAAATAGTGGGCTCATCACAAGGCCCATAACTACGACCTTAAAACATCATTGGTGGAACAAACAACAAAGACCAATAATAAGTCCATTCGATAGAGGAAAATATTATAGTGGCCAATTTCAAGTGATATCATGGATCGAAGACAATGCTTACAAGATTCGAGGTCGAATCATTTTCAAGAAGGGGAGGATGATGCGGCCCAACATATGAAGATCCATTAAGAGTACTAATTGGGCCAATCACAAGGCCCAAGTCCAAACAATTAAGGCAACTCTTCATTGGTGATGTTCAAAGATGGTGGAAATCCAAGTCAAGCCCATTTGCAAAATATGAAGAAGAACTCAAGGCTTTTTTATAATTGTTTAAGTGCTGATTTTGGTGATTAAATTAGGCCCAAATCAGCCCTATTATTTTTGGTCATCATTAATTTAAATTGTTTGGCATAAAAGAGAAAACACTAGTTGTATTTAGAAAGGATTCCTTAAATCCTTTTCTAAATAAAACTCTATTTACTTGTTTTCTAGATTAGGTTTAGGACTCTTTTTCCCATTGTATTTAGATTACAATGTTGCCCTATACCTATAAATAGGGCACATCCATATCAGTTTTAAACAGGCTTCAATTCAATAAAACTCTTAAGTTTTTCTTTACACTTGTGTAAGAAACCTTATGGCTAATTGTGGACTCAATTAGTGACTAGTCGTGGACTCGACTAGCAAATTGATTCGTGGACTCGAATTAATCTTACTTTCTTCAACCTTAGATTTAGGTTCGTGGACTCGTTCTTGAATCGAAGGAAACTAGATCCGACTCTAGTTGATTGAAGATTGCAATATCAAGGTACTTGAAGCTACATGGGATTCTTCCAAGTCTTTGAGGATTCGAGACAAAGGGTTTCTCGTGAGGTTTAAGGTATTTTGATCCATCTCTATCTTTACTTTGAGAGCATTCTTGGGACAATACTCCATCTTATTTGAACCTTGGACTAGGTTCATATCATAATTTCAACTCCAAGTTACAAATAAATAACATGATATTTAACTTGGGTGCACAGCAGAATAATTCAACAGTAAAGTGTTACGTAAAATTAGAGAGATATATCACATGCACCACGTTAGGTATGCTTGAAATAACTCAAATAATATGTATGCAAATTTTGACTCGCATGCGAACGTGAAAAGTATTAAACCCAGATGAATTTATCTGTGTACGAAATGGGTTAGTCAAAATTCAATATGCAATGTTTATAAATGGTTTATGTGGGTATGCATGCATGTACACGTATAAAGATATGCTAGCTAGATAATATATATATTTTAATAGTCAACTTGCATTAACTTGTAGGAAATAATTAATAAATGCAGATAGAAGAAATTATATTAGATATGAACTATATTGCATGCATACGTAGGTGAACCCAGATAATGAATAGCAAATATAAGAATGGGTTAGTTCACAGTGATAAATAAATGAGAGCAGTAAGTAAATGAGAGAGGCAATTTAGAGTGGTTCGGAGGTGGCGTAATCCCCCTACTCCACTTTTCTCCTTTCATGTCTAGGAGAAAATTAACTACTTTCCACACACAGTTACAATAGTGAATAAGTGCTACACAGGAACTTCTTTGAGTGTTTTGCACACAGCTACACCCAACCCCCGAGTGTCTTGCACACAGCTACACTCCTCCACGAGTACTTCGCACACAGCTATACTCCTATGCCAACTAAGTGTCTTGCACACAGCTACACTTAGCAACCACGAGTGTTTTGCACACAGCTACACTCACGAGTGTCTCGCACACAGCTACACTCAACAGGTTAGTGTTTTGCACACAGCTACACTTAACCCTCTTTCTACACACAGTAGAGAAAAAAATATAGAGAAAACAAATTTCTCTTCTAAAGACTTGAAGATTTCTACGCAGATAGCTCAAGAATAATGAACTGGATATTTCAAATATTGCTCTCTGTATTGTGTATTGCCTCTACTTCAAGTCTTCAATCCTTGCCCGTATTTATAGCCAACAAAGACCATATAGCCATTGTAGCTTCTTCAATCCTAGCCGTCCATCTGATTTGCGATGCTCCAATTTGCAACTTGCTCTGAAGCAATTAAATGCAGCAGCTTTCGGTGGAGAATAGCTTTATCAGATTTATTTGAAAAACTTCATCTGTGTAATCTTCAAAAGTCATATATTGCTGCTGACCTTCTGCAATAAATCTTCTTTTGGTTTGGATGAAATATCTTCTGACAAAAGTAAATCTTCATGTTGAGATCTTTAAATCCGACCGTGTTCTTGCTCTTGAGGAAGAGAAAATCTGATAAGAAATGCCGTGCTCTACTCTTGCTTGAAGAAGATAAAATCTTCATAAAGAAATTCCGGGGTGCTCTCTGCTTCTAGTTCAAATGCGAGAAAGAAGAAGTATAGAGAATGAAGCTATCCTTTAAATTGTTTCTTCTCAATTAAATGCTTCTGACTTTTAATACGCTCCTTTTGATGCTAGCTGACTTGCATTTAATACGCCTGCTCCTTTTGATGTAGACAGCATTTACCAGGTGTTATTTCTTCATAAAACGCTATCATCAAGAATCAAAACCATGTCCAACCGCAATGCTTCTCAAGTGTCTAACCAATGCTCCGTGGCATTTACCAAGTGTTATTTCTTCATAAAACGATATCATCAAGAATCGAAAACCATGTCCAACCGCAATGCTTCTCAAGTGTCTAACCAATGCTCCGTGACAACCTATTAGTCATATTAGGATTGATAATCTATTTATACGCTTTCTGCCTGAGTATCACTGAGCAAAATAGACGTCACAGAGATTCGAACACAGGTCTTCACCAAAACACAATAGTGCTTTATCCATCGACCTGCTATGACCTCTTGGCACAAATACTGCAAAGAAATCCTAAGTACCAACATTCTGAGAGGTTCTATTTGCCTTTAAATTTCGTAGGATATTTGGTTCAGGTCTATTTTGAAGTTTGTACACTAGACTCAAAATAAAATATGGGGAATTCTAAAAATACAATTTTGGCTCATCAAAACTATATTACAATTATTCCTAACAATTATTTAATTAATTAAGCTAATAATAACTAAAAATGATTTAATTTGGTTAGGATTCCCTTTAATTAATTAATGTGGTCCACCATGGACCGTGGACCCTTGTTTATAATTCGGACTTTAAGTCTATTAGGAATAAAGAAAGTGAGCCTCTACTACTCAGATTCTAATTAGGAATCCGAGACCTATATACCTGTTAGGAATAGAAAATAGGTCTTTACTATTCAGACTCTGATTAGGATTCCTAACTCTATAAATAAGGGATTAGAAGGCAATTAGAACCCTTACCACCCATAGTTATATTACACGAAATTATTCCCAAAAGATTCCCCACCGCCAAGCCTAGAGATCCAATCGGATGGAAATCTTAGAGAATAACCTTAATAGCCAAGGGAGGATTAATTAAGGCTAAGAGGTAACCCATGTCTCAACAAAACCTATTTTCCTTGTTATATCATATTTTATTGGCTCCTTTGATAATCGTATGTGTAATTTTGTGATTGAGTCTTGATAGAGCCCTTGCGTAGGATTTATATTATGTTTATTTGTTAATCCTAATGTTCTTGATATCGTGATTGATTGTAACACCCCCTAATTTCCATGCTATTTAAAGCCTTAAACATGCAGATAACTAAACCAAAACATCAAACACAGCGGAAGACTGAAAGAGGAAATATATAGACTGGAAGTAAATGGGGTGCTATGCCACGCTCATCCAGAGGTGAACGCACAGGCTAACATCTGCATTGTTCAACATCTAAAACCGACACATACAAAGTACTAAGTCTATACTGGCTCACAGGCCACAAAACATAAGAAAGGAGCTACACAAGCTGGCACTCAACCGCGCACTCGTCTAAACATCACCTTAAAGAAACACATAAAAGATGGGACGATGCCCGGTCAGCGAATAATGCTGGTAACCCACCAATACATGTGAAATATCATACATAGATAAGATATATGTTTGTAAAATCATTTGCAAAATGGAATACATATATATAAGTTCAAAACCAAGAGCAGAGGTCAACACAAGACTCAAACACTCTCAACAAGAACACGGGAACGCATCCCAAGACTACAACGAACAACAACGACTCACAAGAAGTCTCAAGGTATAATCTATCATCACACAATAGATAAACACCCGACATGCATAACTCAAAAGAATAAGGACACACCAAATGGCAACACACGCCTTTGTGACTACACACGTCACAAGAAGAGAACTCACAACAACGGCTACACAAGCCCTCGTCACATCACCCATCACGAGTTGATATACCTTCCTTATGCCCTGTTCCAACCTTATGGCTACCCCCAAGCTTATGTCTAGTTCCAACCATTACCTCCAGGACCCCTGTACAACCAAGTCCAACCTTTTCCCTCCTGGGACCGTCGTCCCCCACCAACGACCACCAACAAGACCACCGATTCATAGTACACGAGGGTACCGATCACACACACGGCAACACATGCCACCCAAGAAACACGTGAACCTTACTCAAAGGCCACAAACTCCATAATCATGTCATGGCCACCACGAGGACCACTGCAATACCTTGGTGACTAGTGTCCCATACCACTAATCGTGCAATCCAGGTAAAGCCACACACACCTCACCACAACAAGAATCAATCAACGGATCACAACGAAGATATGAAACCATACTCAATCAAGGAATGGATCACAATCCAACAACAATGATGAATAACACAAGTCATTATCAACAATAGGAAGGTACAAACAACACACACGCTAGTATTTAAGCATCGAACTAACATACTCATCAAACGGGTAAACCGAAAGTAGTTCCGAAGAACACACAAGACTCATCACGGTTCAACGAATCACAATGTTGAACACTTAGCACGATTCAAGACACCAAAACCTACATGGATTCCTACCATATAGTTCTAGATATACGAAACATCAAGAAGACACTCAAATAGTTCCACAAAAGACATCGGGAAGTCAAAAGACCAAATACCAAGTCAAAAGAATCACGGGGAACAAATCCCCCAACAACCATACATTGTACCCCGCGGGTGGATCCACGGGTAGGCCCCTACCCGCGGTTCCGCCCACGAGTACATACCCACGTCCGGCTTGTTCCCCGCGGGTGGGCGGCGGGTAGGCCACTGCCCGCCGTTCGGCTCGCGGGTACATACCTGTACCAAAATTATCACTTCGGGGATTTACAACTACAAGCTCAAATTCAAGTCCAAAACATGCCAAATCTCACCAAACACCACAAAATGACTTGAATCAAAGGAATAGCCAAACAATGGCATACATGAACCCTAAACACAAGCTCTAGATATGCATTTTCACAAGACAATGCATAAACACTCACATTTCATAGCAAAACACATGTAGAATCCAAGAAATCATCACATAGGTAAGCAAAATAGATTTTGTAAAGCATGGGTTACCTCTTGTAGACCAAAAACCTTCACTTAACACCTCACCAAGCTCCTAACGAAGCTCACCTTCCAAACCCACTTCAAGAACACACCAAAAGATCATAAAGATTCTATCTTTAAGAAAAGACACCTTAGAAAACACTAAAAACACAAGATGGACATAGATCTTACCCTCCTAGATGCTCAAATGTATGAAAGGTAGAATCTTGGAGACAACTCTTGAAGATTTGACAAAGCTTCAATTTGGCTTGGAAGAAAAGCTATCTACCTTTTAAGAGAGAAGGTAGAGCTAAAGTTTGGAAAGTGTAAGGAGAGAAATGAGGAGTGTCTGCTAGGTTAGCTCACATTACTAACACAAGGTGAAAAGTCATGAATACCCTTACTAACATGAAGAGGTGAATGGGAACAAGGGAACTCCTTACAAAGCTTAAAGTACAACCTTGACTTTGGGGTTGACTAGTCAATTACTAGTCCCCGACTATTGAATTTTCAGGATTTTTAGGAATTAAATTACCAATTAAATTGGGATTAATTACTTAATTAATCCCTTAATTGATTTTGGATTACGGGGTGTCTACATCCTCTCCCCCTTCAAAGAAGCTTCGTCCCCGAAGCTTGAGTACGACGAATTAAAACAAACGGTGAAAAGAACAACAATGTGACAAGAGTGTCAAGAACAATCTCTTTTGGTCAAAATCCAAAAGATCCCACAAGAATTCAAGGCAAGAAAGAAGGTATTTCAAAACAAGGATTGACAAGAATTTAACAAACGGATATATTGAGCGTAACGAACTCTAATCCCAACACAACCACCCACTTCTAGCCAACAACTAAGAACTAGACAACTATCTCAAAAACACCAACCACAACGCTAGCTAAACAACAAAACGAACAAGTAAGAACAAGCATACAAAACAAGCAACAAACAACCAACAAATGGTAATAACAGCTAAGAAGATAACAACAACTAAGGAAGGGCGAACAAGATTTCCACAACACCAAGCTAGAACGACTCGCTCTCCGACTCCTCGGTGCTCTCCTCAGATTCTTCGTCATCCCCTCCTCTACGGCTTGAGCTGGCCTCAATCTGATCTGGTCTTTGGTGCACGGCGACAAACTGCGTCTTCATGTATGCGAAGCGCTCTTCGATCATACGGTTCTGTTGACGAAGCAAGGTGACAACACGTTCCTCATGCGTCATGGAGTCATGCTCTCTCTTGGTGCGAGCTTCCCTTCTCCTTTGATTTTTTTCGCTTTCAGAATCACTTTCTTCGGCCTCGACAGCTTCCGGTGCTCCCACCTCTTCCTCACGGCCTGCTTCACCCTCATCGTCTTCATCGCCTCCCAAACTCTGAATTACGAGGTTCAACTTCCCGGCATGAATTCCAAGCTAGGCTGCCAACTCGACTCTTTCTTCGGGGGATTTCCTTGCAACTTCCTCGAGAGTGATGTAATCACCATCGTCCAGCTGAAACAAATTGAAACTTCGAAGATTGGTGGCATCCAACACCAACTTTCCCACGGCCTTCAGTAAACAACCATCAACACTTACACCTTTACTAATCAGAATCCAACTCAACACCATCCCATACGGTAGGCTCTTCCGATTATGATCACGACAGAAAACCATATGTTGCAACATCAAGGCTGGCAGATTGAACTTGACCATATTCTTGAGGCAAAAGGAAAAGATGCACTCCAACTTTCCCAACAGCTTACTTTTGTTGTTATTGGGCAACAAACAATCCGACACCAACATAACCAAGATCCTTTGCTCCGCGGACAACCACTTTTTCTCCGGCCTTGAAGCTTGAGTGAAACCACTCGTACGACCCAGCAAATAACTCAAGTAGTCCCGGTACCCCATGGTATCCGTACTAATCCATGAGTTACCGCTATACTGAGCAACTCCCGAAGCAGATAAACTCAAAAGCTGAGCCAGCCTCTTTTCAGACAGAACTACCTTCACACCTCTCACCTAAGAAGTGATCTCAAGCTTATCACCATCCTTTGTCATAACCATGTGACGATAAAATTCCTTAACTAAGCTCGGGTAAGTCTCGGCCCTTATGGCGAGGAACCCATCCAACAAACCTTGGAATCTAAGCATATCCAACAAAGAATTAGGAAAAGATTCTGGGTCAAAGGCTTTACCTTCAAGAACAAGGTAATGGGCATCCACCCATTCCACTTTCCTAGCCAAACTTGACCTTCTAGGCATGGTAGGAGATGACCCAAAGCTCAACAAAAAAAGCCCACAACTCCTCCTTCTTCTCCTCTCACTCTCGCTGCTCTCTCGGCGTCGCGGCAACGCAGCAGATCGACGGCGAGGCTCCGGCGACGGCTGTTCCGGTGGACGGCGGTGGTGCGGCATGTGGTGCGTCGACGGCGGGTGGTGGTGGCGGGGTTGCAGGTGAAGCTACGGGTGTGGGTGGGTTCTCTGCTGTACACGGGTGGGGAGGGAAAAGAAAGAGAGAGATTTAAGAATTTAGGGATCTTGGGGAAAAATTGAGGGAAAGATGATTTAATTCGGGGATTTGGGTAATGTGGAAATTTATGGTTTAAATGGAATTAAAATTGGGTTGGTTCTAAGAAAGATGGTTTGCTCAAGTGGTTTAGAGGTTAGGTTGGCAAGGAACATACTTGGGTTCAAAACTCAAGACTTGCAAATAAACATTTTACTTGACTATTAGGCTACATGGGATAGGATTTTGGCATGGGTTTTCTTCTTCTAAATTCAAAGAATACTTGGAGAAATTTAGAGGGTTCTCAAAGGAAGGGTTGCAAGAATATCCAAGTGCAAAGATTATAGAATTAGCCCAAGCATGATTCATTCCAAAGTTAAATAACTAACTCCACAACGAAACTTACTCGCAAAAACTAAGGGAATCATATATCAAGAAGAGCTTACACTTAACTCCAAAAGAATCATTTATCAAGGAAGAAACATGACAAGGATAGCCAAGTAACTCAAGTAGACAACGAAAGAACACAAGGCAACACACAAGGCAACAAGGAACACGATGCGTACAAAAGGCAAGGGTAGACTAGGAAGGGATTACCTGCTAGCTCCTCCTCCACCAAACCCTCGGACTCTGCCTTCGAACGCCCCATCACAAAGACTCTCCCTGATGGTCTGGCTCCGGCTGCTCCCCGGCTCGATCTACCTCCCGCTGCTGCTCCGGCTCCTGGGGGTGGTGGCAACGCCCTCTGATTGGCATGCTGGGGACACTCAGCGACCTTGTGACCCCTATCTCCGCATCGGAAACACTGTAACACTTGACCATGACAATCTTGGCCCGCGTGCACCTTCCCACATCTACATACAAACGTCTTAGCTTGATTCCCTTGCTCCATCCGGTTGGGTCCTTGGGTTGGAGATGATGCATTCTTAGCTTGAAAACTCGGTCGTGGCTTCTTGAAGGTGGAAGAACCTCCGCTCTCAGTCCTCTTCCTCGCTAGCTTATAAGACCCTCGCTGAAGCTCCTGAACACAGTACAGTTCCGCGGCACTCACATAAGCATCCTTAAGAGAACTCGGTCTGCTCACAGTCAAGGTCTTTTGTGCCTCATAATTCAAGCCGGCAACGAATTTCTCGACCTTAGCGAGCTTCGTAGGCACGAGCATCCGAGCAAAGCGCGCCAACTCCAAAAACTTCTAGTGGTATTCGACCACAGACAGAGATCCTTGCTGCAAATGGATGAACACCTCGTACATGGCGGCTCGCACATGTGCTGGGTAAAACCTCTCGCGGATCCTATCCTTAAGCGCGGACCAATCGAACTCAGGCTCCTCGAGGTAGGCCGAACCCTCATGAATCCACCACAGATTAGCCTCATGACAGAAGTAGAACGTTGCCAGTTCTACCCTTCTCTCCTCAGGACAACCCACAACCGCGAAGATCTTGTCGAACACTCTCATCCATTCCTCTAAAACAACCGGGTCTTCTTCACCCGCGAAGGTCGGCGGCCTGTGACCTGACACCAAACGACCCATGTCCCTGTGCCCAGCAGGTTGAGGAGGTGGCACGGGGTGGTTGTTGTTCAGTAAAGCCTCGCTAAGCGTCTGCATCATATGCGTCAACAGTTGGAGGTTCTGAGCAAGCTGCTCGTTCGTCGGGGTCTCCGGGGTATGCGCTCGTGGATGAGGAGGCATCGCAAGCTTCTACAACAACAACACGGTTACCAGAAAGACAACAAGCAAGCAAATAACTGAAAGCAACACTTAGCTCACCGCGCAATCTAGAGTCCTAAGCCTAACACCTACATTCTTAAGGTCACTTTAAGGTCTCAAACCACACTTAGCCACATAAAAGTCTAGACTTTACCCACCTAGGCTGTAACACCCCCTAAAAACATGCTATTTTAAAGCCTTAAACATGCAGATATCTAAACCTAACAACAAACACAGCGGAAGACTAAAAGATAGATATATATGAATAAACTGGAATATGGGGTGCTATGCCACGTTCACCAAAGGGATGAACGCATAGGCAACATCTGCAATGGTTAAATCTAAACAAAATATCTCATCGTACTACATCTAAGCTGGCTCACAGGCCACAGAACAGAAAGGAAAAGCTATACTAGCAGGCACTAGACCGTGCACTCGTCTAAACATCACCTGAAAGAACACAATAAACATCGGACGACGCCCGGTCAGCGAATAATGCTGGTAACCCACCAATACATGTATATAAGTACAAAACCAAGAGTAATTGTCAACAGAAGACTCAACGCTCTCATCAAGAACACGGGAACACATCCCAAGACCACAAAGGACAACAACCACACAAAAGGATAAAGACAAGACCAATGGCAACACATGCCAACTCAAAAGGATAAAGACAAGAAAAATGGCAACACATGCCTAGGCAACACACGCCGTTGTGACTAAACACGTCACAAGAAGAGAACTCACAACAACGGCTACACAAGCCCTCGTGACATCACCCATCGCGAGTTGATATGCCTTCCTTATGCCCGGTTCCAACCTTATGGCTACCCCCAACCTTATGTCTAGTTCCAACCATTACCTCCAAGACCCCTGTACACCAAGTCCAACCTTTTCCCTCCGAGGACCGTCGTCCCCTCTCCAACAGATCTCCAACAGAACCATCGATTTCATAGTACACGAGGGTACCGATCACACACACGGCAACACATGCCACCCAAGAAATACGTGAACCTTACACAAAGGTCACAACTCCATAATCACGTCATGGCCACCACAAGGACCACTGCAATACCTTGGTGACTAGTGTCCCATACCACTACTCGTGCA